GCTTGAAGAGTCGGTGGGTGGGTACAGTGGTTTAACCCTGATTGCTCTTGACCTGGGTCACCTGCGTTCTGTGCTGATTTCCTCCAACCGTTGACCCCTCCCTGGGTCTATGAAGTTCAGAGAACTAGATATTCATGACCTTCTAGGGCACTTCAGGACAGAGTGTTAGGGACCTCATCGGCCTTGGGCCTATGGTGTCCAGGTCTTAGCATTACAGCACTGTGTCATTGACTGCCTGCTGCTGTTCCCATAAAGTCCCCACCCTATGGTTTTCTGACCACCATGGGACATAAAGACTTGCAGAACACAAGTGTCCTTGACCTCTTGCCCTGGGAGGCGCTGGTTCTGGCTTTGCTGGGAGTGGGAGGATCCTTTTCCTCTTGTCTGTGGGCAGCTGAATGATCTATTGTGACATTTCTCAATGGAAAAAGTCACTGTAGCTTCTCTTTGGATTTTTTGATCATTATTTGGTCTGACACGAGCTTGTAGGTTTTGCTAGAGTAGGTATATGGGGAGTTATGCAGCCTACCTCTGATTTAGACAGCCATCTTGGCAGCAAGCAATACTGACCATTAAAAAAATTTTTTTCCAGAAAATTGAGGCTGAACAAACAATTTGAGGCCAAACAATTCGAGGCAGCTAAGAAACTCTGTTTCTCCAAATTTCAGGCCTTACTATAGAATCATAAGGTATTTCAAAGAACATCTAATCTAACTCACTCATTTTTATAATTGAAGGAACTGAGGCTCAGAAAGTTGAAGCAATTTATTTAAGATGAGGCAAGATAATGAGAGCCAGGTCCAAAGACAGAGGGTCCCTGACTCCATGACCATTGTTCTCAACTGTTCTCAGGCTTTTTGTAGTCTTGGGTGGTTTTCTGTTTTGGTTTGTTTTTTTGTTTTTTGGGGTTTTTTTTGATACATTTATTAATTAAAATATTATGCAAGTTAGTAATGACATTTTATTTCTCCTAAATGATCTGTAAAAGACAGATATATAATTTATAAGGCATCAGGCACAATTCATGGACTAAATTAGCTTTTATTTTGTAATCTGCTGCAACCCACCTTCCACACGGGAGTTGAGCCACATAGACATCATAAAGACACCAAGTGTCTGTTACAAACTAATCCAATTTCAGGTCTCTTTTTTTGTTGGATGGACATGCAAAAAAAATCAGCCTCTGTATTTCTATTCAAGATGACAGATTTCTGGTATTTTAACAATATCCCTAATGCTTCTGAAGTTGACTCGGACAGTGTATAGTAAATGAATGAAGGATGGTCATTTGTACATTTTGAGTGTCCTTGAATCCTGTAGTTTCCTTCCAAAATAATAACTGGCATTTGTATTACATGTATTATCTCATTTGAGTTGAGACTTATAACCTTAGCGACATAGGTATTTTTGTAATCTATACCTATGATTTCAATGGTATATCAAGATCCCAGAGAAGAAAGGATTCACACATGTGGTGCAATGGCTAGAGCGCTACACCTGCAGTCAGGAAGACCTGAGTTCAAACCCTGCCTTAGATACCTACCAGTATTGTGATCCTATCAAGTCACTCAATCTCTGTCTGCCTCACCTGTAAAATGGGAATGATAATAGTAGCCTCTGTATCCTAATGTTGTGAGAATAAAATATTTGTAAAGCACTTTGTAAACCTTAAAGTGCTATATAAATGCTAGCTGTTATTATTGTTATTCTAGCAAGGCAGTTGGGAAACAATTCTGCAATGTAGTCTTAATGAGTTGCCTGAAGCACTGAGGAGTTAAGCAACTTTTTGTTTTTTTGTTGTTGTTCATTCATGTCCAACTCTTCATGACCCCATTTGGGGTTTTCTTGGCAAAGATGCTGAAATGATTTGTCATTTCCTTCTCTAGCTCATTTTACAGGTGGGGAAACTGAGGCAAACTGGGTTAAGTGACTTGCCCAGGGTCACACAACTAGTAAGTGAGGCCAGATTTGAACTCACAAAGATGAGTCTTACTCCAGGCCTGGCACTCTATTTGCTGTGCCACCTAGCTGCAACTAACCCAGGTTCATACAGCAATAAATGCCAGAGCCAAGACTTGAATCCAGGTCTTCAACTCTCTATGCCCTTATGCCATGTTTCTTCCCTGATATAGAGTCAGTAGATATTATTAGTCCCACTTTATAGATGAGAAAACTGACTCGAAGAGGTTAAGTGACTTGTCATGGTCACACAGCTAGTAATATTTGAACTCAGGTCTTCTTGATTCTAATTCCAACATTCTATCCACTGCAACACTAGCCTTTCATTGAGTATAATGAAAGATATTTGTGTTGATGTTGGCCATGGATTCTAGTTAGATGATCTGAGAAGTGGCTTTTCTACATAACTTCTCCAGTTCCACACGACATAGTGTTCAGCTCAAAGGTGCATCAGAGTTTATTTATGTGGCAACCACTTCTTATGAGATGAACTTAAAGAAGTGGACAAATTGCCATCTCTGATGTGGAATTACCAGCGGTGGTCTGCCCCCACCACCACAGAAGGAAATGCACTCATAGCTGAAAATGAAACACAAATCCAGTCCCCAGCCTCTCGACTTCCTTGTCAAAAACATCCCAGAGGTTCAGGACAGCCGCCTGTATTGGATTAAGTTGGAAATTGACTGGACATCTCAACTCCTAACACCTCTTGTAAGAAAATGGTGACATCTTGGGTAGAAAGAAAAAAAAAGTCTCTGGGGAAAAGAGGCAACTGCTACTACGGAGACAATAAGAGGTAATACCAAACACAATCTACTAATAAATGACCTTGTTTCCCTTGGGGAAAATGAAAATGAACTCTCTTGTGGGATGCAGAAGAAGCGTTTGTCCCCTTGGCATTTGAAACTGAGAACATTCCATCACTGTGGTTCACATGTTCATCTGGCTTTTGTCATCCAAAGACAATTCACATTCTTTCTCCATCATTTCTGTGACTAAAGTTGGAATTTTAAAAATTCTTTATTGGCACATTGATAACTACTCACATAGCTGTACCTGGTCATTTACGTGTTTTCTCCTCCCATTAGATCATGAGCTCCTTGAGGGGCTATTTTTGCTTTTCTCCCTATCCTCTGCAGTGCCTAATAATAATAATAATAGTTAATAATTATGATTATAATATAATAATAGTTAATGATAGCTAAGATTTATATAGCCCTCACTATGTGCAGAGCACATATGTGCCTTACTATGTGCTAACACTTTACAATTATTATCTTCTTTCATCTTCATAACACCCCTGGGAGGTAGGTACTATTATTATCTCCAATTTACAGATGAAGAAGTTGAGGTAAACAGAGGTTAAGTGACTTGCTCAGGGTCACACAGCTAGTAAGTGTCTAAAAATGGATTTGACCTCAGATTTTCCTGACCACCACCTAGCTGCCCCAAATACTTATTGACTGATTGCTAGTACATTTTCTAGTAAATGACATAGTTTAAATTCATATTAATATATGGTAAAATTCCTTTTTCTAAGCTAGAAATCAAATTTGGAGTTGAGTATGTATATGTACAGAAAGTATACTTTTATGCCTGAAAGTCAAATTTTCTATCCCAAGGTTATGTAAAATATGGACTACCAACTTCCGGTGCTTCTGTCATAGCCTTTATTCTTAGGCTGGGGAAAGGGCAGGAAGGATTTCAGTTTCTGTTGAACACAGTCTCGTGAAAAAGACTTCTCACTGCTAGGATTTGTAGGAACCCAGAGCACCTTTGCTAGCCCCAGTACAAACTCACTCATTTTTACCTTCATTTCCCTTTCTGCAAAAGGCAAATTGACTTGCCCTCACTTTCACTAGAGTGTTAGGATACTCAGTAAGGCAATATTTCTGAGGAACACTGACCTTCAAGTATTCTACTGACAATAGTTTTGGGGTTTGCACCTCTTTTCAACTGTACAAAACCATCCACTCAGGGCATGCCAGACCTTGAATGATGGCTGTGTCCTGATCTAGATAGATTTACTTTTTCACTTCATTATAGAAAGTTCTGTAAACTATTCATCACATAAAATGAAAGTGAAGCATCTATTTAGTTCAGCAAAACTGCAAGCTGAATTATCAGGGAAATGAAGATAAATTGCCTTTCATTTAAGAAGTAGCTGATTTTGGTTTTTTTTTTATCTTGACAGTGCTTTATAGCATGTTTGCCATGCTGTCTAATGTGCACAGAACTGCTCTTTGTGGTTTCAATAATAATAAAAGCAAGTTGGGGGGATTTTTTTTCCTTCCCTAGCTTCATGCCTCCACCACCCTCCCCCTCCCCCCCTTCAGCAGCCTTCCCTCCTTCCTTCCTTTTCTCCTTCTCTAAAGAAAGACCCTCTGCAAAAAAAAAAAAAAAAAAAAAAAAAAAAGGGAGGGGGAAGGCACATGTAAAAAGATATTATTTGGATGCAGAAAGGCTCTGACGGCTTATTACCTACAGTGTGCTAGCTATGATGGACAGACCACCATGGTTGTGACAACTGATATAGATGCCTCCAGGGTAAAACAAAGGTTTGTATATTACACAAGCAATTTCACTGTTTTCTAAACATATTGCCAAGACGGTGGGAGCTGGCAGTCCACACAGTTTCAGGTTTGGGATACTGGATTTGAAGTGACTGCCGATTGTGGACCTTTTTATTTGTCTTCCACGGACTACGAGCAGCCTAGTAACCCAGGAAAGAATTTTGCATAGCCTTTAAAGTTGTCTTCATGGCTTCCCAAGATTACATACACAAATCACTTGACAAAAGTGGGCTAAGAGTCTTGGGCATAGATAACCACACAAGACAATCGTCTTGTTCCAACCCTTAAAGAGCCCACAGAGTGAAATGTTTTATAATCCTTTTTTGTGCAGTAGTCAAGGAAGAAAAGAAAAGAGTTTGGGCAAAGATTATCCAGAAGAAAGAAAGGGACTCTTTTGGGGTTCCAGCTGAAACACAATAAAGAACATAATTAACTTCACAATTCTTTGTGTTTTTCATTTGACTGCAGGGAGGAGATGAAAGAGGACTGCTAAGCCTTGCATTCCATCCCAATTACAAGAAAAATGGAAAGCTGTATGTGTCTTATACCACCAACCAAGAACGATGGGCCATCGGACCTCACGACCACATTCTTAGGGTCGTGGAATATACAGTGTCCAGGTACCATTAAAATAGCTAAGGCATTAGCATCCAAAGCTTCACATGTCTCCTTACTTTGTAATTTTTGTTTAAAAGGCTACAATAAAACAGTCAAAAGCTTTCAAGCATCTAAAGCAGATAGCTATGATTTTGCAGAAAGTCTGCCTGTAGCTTTAAGGAGAGCATGGAAGTTTATATTTTTAGCATTCTCCTCTTCTCCCCCCGACCCCCCACAAGCTATCTTACAAATTAAGTGCTTTTCCTGTGACCTAGAAAATAATGTTGCTTTTGCACCATTCTTCTTAGCCCCAGTTCAAGGATTCATTTCACTGTTTATCCTTGTTTTGCTTGTTCACTCTGCAACTACAGAGAATCTAATCACAGCATTGTATCTCTCTCTATAATGCAGGAAAAATCCCCAACAAGTTGATATGAGAACAGCCCGCATGTTCCTGGAGGTAGCGGAGCTGCACAGGAAGCATCTAGGTGGACAGCTGTTGTTTGGCCCCGATGGCTTTTTGTACATTTTCCTCGGCGATGGGATGATCACCTTGGACGACATGGAAGAAATGGACGGTTTAAGGTATAGATTCTGGCAGGGTCAGCGTGCCCTTCTTTCCACATTTGTGTCACACCGATTGGAAGTGCCAATGAGTTAGGAAAGCTGCAGTTTCAGCCTTTCCTCCTTTGTCATTACTTTATCATCTAGTCTTTCACCTTTCACTTTTGTAAAATAGGAAAAAGGATGTTAAATTATGTCATAAAATCATAGGATCATTGATTTAGATCTGGAAGGGACCTTAGAGGTCACATAGTCCAAACCCCTCCATTGTACAGTTGAGGAAACAGACACAAAGAGGTCATTTATTAGGCACCTACTACATACCAGGTTGAGGCAGGTAGTTGACTCAGTGCATAGAGTGCTGGGAAAGGAGTCAAGAAGACCTGAGTTCAAATCTAGCCTCAGATACTTACCATCTGTGCAAGCCTGGGCAAGTCACTTAACCCGGTCTGCCTCCGTTTCCTCATCTGCAAAATGAGCTGGAGCAAATGGCAAATCACTCCAGTTATCTTTGTTAAGAAAACCCCAAATGGGGTCACCAAGACTCAGATGTGACTGAATGACCGAACATCTGTGCCAATCACTGTGCTAAGTGCAGCGGATACAAAGAAACGCAGTTCCTGCTTTCAAGAAGCTCACAGTCTAGTAAGGGAGATCACACAAAAACAACTATGTATAAATAAGATACCTACAGGGTAAATTGGAGATAATCTTAGAGGGAAGAGAGCGTTAACACTATTGCGGACCAGGAAAAGCTGCTTGCAGAAGCCAAAATTTGAATAAAGCCAGGGAATAAGAGATCTACCCAGTACACTCATAGGTTCAAAGATCTGGCATGCTCTGATCACAGTTTATTGAACATTAATTTCGTTGGGAAAAAAAATGAGACCAAACACTTTTCTAAGATATTCATTTCTAACTATCATTTCTAACTAGCCCTCCCCACCCCCCTGTTTCCTTCCTAGGTCTTCAAGTGTGGACAGGGAGGGATGTCTGCTCCCCATCTTAGAATAGTGAGGGCTTCTACTCCCCATCTCAGCGTTAGGGGCTTTAAAAGGGAATCATTTTCCCCAGGACACTAGCCAGATAGGGTTAGAGTCACAAAACTAGTAAATGTTTGCAGCAGCACTTGAATTCAGATCTCCCTAACTCCAAGCCCAGAACTTTATCCCTCGTACCACCACTTTGCCTGTCAGAATCTTTGAATAAAAGAAGTTATCAAATTAGAATCATCATCAATTATTACTTAGGTTTTCAGGTGTTCCTGGGAGATCTAGACCTCTGATTGGATTGGTATAGGGAACTCCCAGTGAGAAAACTCCTTCTACCAACATAGATAGGTACCAGCTCTGAGAGTTACATCATCAGAGAGTTGCCTGAGGGAAGTGAGAGGTTAAGTCATTTACTCAGGGACACTCTGCCAATATGTGGGAGGGGCTAAATTTGAACCTAAGTTTGCTTGTCTCTGAGGCCAGTTATATAATACACCATCCCGCCTCTCTATGTATGTCCATGTATTAAAGCTTAAAACTGCACTAAGACTTTTGGGACACCCTGGATATGAAGAATCAGCACTTCCAACTTGGCTTGGAGTCAGGAAAGCCTGGGTTCAAGCCTCACCTTTGACACATACTAAATGCTATATAAATAATTGTGTGCTACAGTACAAGCTATAGAGAAGTCACATTTGTTCTGTACTTTATAGTGTACAAAGCACTTCCATGTGAGAAACCTGTAAGATAGATAATGCAAGTATTATTTTCCTCATTTTATAGATGAGGAACTCGAGGCCCAGGGGAGTGAAGTGACTTGCTCATAATCACAATTAGCCAATAGCAAAGCCATCATAAATTGTAAAAGGTCAAGAAGTCATTTAAACTCTGTGAGTCTCAGTTTTCCTATCCGTAAAAGAAGTTGGCTGAAGTGAATGATAACTCCTTCTAGCTCTAAATCTTCTGATCTTAAGTAAAGAAATAAATGTGAAGGAGAAAATCATTCCAGAAAAGCTTCTTGAAGAGGATCTTTAGCCAGATCTTGAAAGTAGGTGAATTGGTGGAGAAGTGTAAGCATTCAACCATCAAAATTCAACATTGATTTAGTGACAATGATGCCATGTATAGGATACTGTACTAAGCACTGGTGGAGTGTCAAAGTTTAAGGAAGACATAGATCCTGCCCACATCTCCCTTACAGTCTACAACACAAATGTAAATATCCTCAATTTTCAGTAAGTGAATGAGAGACATGCAAGCTAACTGCTCTATTAGGTCCAAGTTGAGACAGCTAATTACCAACTAGAGAAGATCAGAGAAAACTCCATGAACAGAATAACATTTGGGATGGATTTTAAAAGATGGATTGGACTGTTGTGGTCAGATTGGAAAAAGAATGAAAAAAGTAATCTATTTCTGTTTTGCAATTCCTAAGCCATCATCTCCATTTGACCTTGTCCTGCCAATCTGTAAAGCAGAAAAAAAATACCCTCCCCTTACTTACTATTGTTCTGCAGTGCTTTTCTTGACACCATTGCTATCAGACAAAAATTTTCCCCTTCTTTAGTTTCTTTATGTATTTTGCATCTTTGATGAATTTACCTTTACTGAACAAATAGTTAAATTCACTCTCTAATCACCTCATTAAAGTGATTTAGGTGAAACAAATACATCCCATTTTTCAAAGAAGTTTGCACATAATTTCTATAATTAATGACTTAGAAATTCAAAAGGTAATAACTAATATTTTAATTATTCATGGAAATCAATGGTGCCAGGTCATTTGCTTGGCATTGAGTATGCACACATATGTAATTGTGGCACCCTGAGATGTATGGGATTTGTGGTTACAAAAACACTTTTAAACAATTATATTGTCCTCCAACTTTCTCAGTGATTTTACAGGTTCGGTGTTACGGCTGGATGTAGATACTGACATGTGCAATGTGCCTTATTCCATACCGAAGAGCAATCCACACTTTAACAGCACCAATCAGCCCCCCGAAGTATTTGCACATGGGCTCCACAATCCAGGCAGGTAAGGAGATGAACCCTAAGACTCTGATTTATATCTTTAGTTACGGGAAAGAGAACAATTGGCATGGGATAAGAGACTGATCCTCTGAATCATAAAATGTCCATAAAGATTATGGATGATGAGGAAAGCTAGGAAGCCCTGGGATTAAATCCTGCCTCTGACACCTATGGACTGTTTGACTGTGGGTCCTTTAGTTGACTCAAAAACTAGAAGTTTCAGGAAAGGTGGCAGCCTGCCTTAGTAGAGGGAGTTATCTCATCTGGAAACCCCACGTGTATAAAGGATCTCTCTGGGCTCACTTTTTCACAGTAAGGCAGGCTGCCTCTTCCCCTCAGAGTTCTAGGCGTACCCTTGAGGAGATGGGATTTCTCTACTCTACTACATTTGTCTTAAGCCCCAACTTGTGTGTACTCCCTCCTCTTGTTAACCATTGGTTTAGTTCCTTGTAACAATGCATTCACAGGGTGCTATCCTTTGTCCCTCCAATCAGATTTGAGGCAGCTCACTAGCTGACCTAGAGGCAAAGGTTCTCACTTCATGTTCCTTTCTCTTAATTTAACATTTTAAGAGAGACCCAAAATTCCAATAAAGAAGAAATCAGTTTTTAAATTGTTACAACCATTAGTCCAGAGTTTAGAAGGATTGAGGGATTCGTGATGGTAAAATGTTGCCATTATGTTAAGAAACATTCATATTCTTGTGGAAAATGTCTTTTGACACTTGAGTATGTCTGTTATGTCACAAATGTGGAAATTTCCAATGGTACAGATGGTAATCAATCAATACCTGTCTCTCTTATGAAGCTATTATTCACATAGTCCTATAAATCTCCCATGGTGGGAGGTGGGGCACACAGCGTATTTGTCCTCTAATTCTCTAGATATTTCATAGATATCAATGGAGCAGCTTGCTCAATGACCCTCTAATTACTAATATCAAGTGATATTCCTCTTCTGAGTTTGTGTTTTGATCTTCTCTGTTGCCATAGTAGTTTTCTATGGTCAGGGCTCTTTTCTGTTTCATACTCATTTTCCAGCCTATTTTGTGACTTTAAAGTTGAGCTCTGCTCCCTGGTTCACAGGGGGCACTATCCCAAGCTTCTTATGCTGGGGTCCAGAGGCCTAGTCACTAGTTTCTACACGGGGGCCTCGGGTGCATGCTTGCTGAAGGCATAGACTCCTGTCATTCAAGATGTCCAGTGAAGAGCCTAAATCAAAGAGAGATTCCCTAAGTTGCAATGTCCTTCAGATGCTACTATTTGCATAAGGTGTTGTATTGATTCCATGATGCCACAGAATATTGCAGAGCCCATTAAATAAGATCCATAATCACTCAAATGAATTTGGCCATGGAAGAGAAAACAAATTTTTAAAAAGCTGTATTTCTTAGACCACAGCATCTTTAGACAAATTTAATAATCATGAAAAATCAACATGAAAGTTTGCTAGAAAAAAAAAAGAAACCATTTGATTTGCTTCCTTGAATCTAAAATTGCTATATACTAGCTATTCTTTTTTTTTTTTTTTTTGAGGCAATAGGGGTTAAGTGACTTGCCCAAGCTAGTAAGTATCTGAGGTCAAATTTGAACTCAGGTCCTCCTGACTCCAGGGCTGATTGCTCTATCCACTGTACCACCTAGCTGCCCCTTGAAATTGCTATATAGATGCAATATCATTTAAGAAAGATTCATGCTAAAGTTAAAGGTGATTTTCCCCCTATGAAAGATGCAGGTACTAGAAGAAATAAGGTTAAGTATTGCCTACATTATATTGAACAATAAAGAAAGGAAAATTGTGTCATGTAGAATTACTTAGTATTTTTAGGATTTAGTTTCCAGAGAAAGTCTTGGAAGATCCACTCAATACATATTTAATCAACTTATTTTCTGCTTGTAAGGCTGGTAGTATAATGAATAAAGAGCTTCAGAGTCAAGGTGATCAGGGTTCAGAAGCAGCCTCTGCCACATACTGGCTTTTTAACCTCATGCAAATCATTTGATCTCTCATGGCCCATAAGTTGTGAAAATAAAAATGTTAAAAATTTAAAAGGAGCTGATCTTCACTGGTAACAGAAGTTCCTCAGCAGGAGTTCCTTATACCAATGAAATCATAAGTCCAATCCAGAAGAACAAAAAGTCAGCTGTCTAACCTGCAGAGAGGGAGGTATTTGGCAATATAAATAAAACTGATGGGATCACAGCATCATAGATTTAGAACTAGAAGCTACCTGAGAGGTTATCTTGTACAATCCTGTTTTACAGTTGAAGATACTGAGGTCCAGAGAAGCTGTGACTTTCCTAAGGTCACACAGCTAGTAAATGGTCAAGCGAGGATTTGAACTCAGTTCCTCTGACTCCAAAGTCATTGCTCTTTCTGCTGTCCCACACTAATTGCTCAAACATTTACTGAATGACCATGACATGATATGTTAGTGATTCCCAAATTTACGTCCCATCGTCTATATGTATCACTTCTTCCTCAAGAAAGAAAAAGTTTACAATTTCCTTCCTTTTCAGCAAAATAGCTCATCTTTGAGAGGCAGTGTAGCATAGTGGCTAGAGTCCTGGCCTCAGAGTCAGTAAGACCAGCATTCATGTCCCACCTCAGATACGTGTTAGCTTGGAAAAGTAGTCTTGGATAAGAAGTATGCTATCCTTTGGATTTCTATAGCATTCTTATACAAGTGGAAGAAAGGCATTTTCCTCTAATTCTCTCTATATACTTGCACCTCTCTCCAGCTCCCCGCCTCCCATTTAATCATATAAATATATTTCCTTAAGAAAATTATCAACATACACTAAACCAAAAGACACACTGGCTAGGAGTAGGTGGTACAAAAGGATAGCTACCATGGCCAAGTCTAGAAAATGGGGGAGAGGGTAGAATATTGGACTTGAAGCCCTCCCCCCAAGATCTCCATTCAAATCCTTCCTTTGGCATTTACTAGGTATGTGACCCAAGGCAAGTCATTTAATTTCTCTAAGCCTCAATATTCTCACAAAATGGGAAAAATCATAATAGCATTACATAGTTGTGAAAATTAAATGGGAAAATGTATGTAAAGCACTTTTTAGACCTTAAGGTACTGTAAATGTGAGCTGTTGCTCATTATCTTTATCTGAAATTCTAAGAAACTTTCCAAGAACCCAGGCCTTCCATCGGGGAAGGCTGCTGAATCCAAGGGGACATAACAGTTTGTCTTCCTTCTGCACCCAAAGCAGCTGAATGCAGGTTCCCCTCTAAGCTGTTAAGGAAGACAATGGCTACCACTTCAGATTCCAATTCACACTCCATAATCAGTGAGGCAAAGAAAGACACAGCGTTTCCTTCTGGATTCAAACTTGGGATCTACCAGCTATTTTATTCCCTGGCACATTGTGGCAGCAAAAAAAAAAAAAAAAGGCAGAAAATGTGTGTTGTGATGATTTACTGAGTCCTCACTTTGTTCTGAAAAGGCAAGATTCATTGATTCATCAAGTCAAAAAATTAAGATTTCACTTGTACTACAAACACATTGCCTGTTTAATATGGGGATAAAGACATGACTGAAAACTAATTAGCATCTTCCCATTGAAGATAACATCATTGAGATTACATAAAGATAATGTGCATGAAAGAAAAAAATGGAAACATACACATATGCACACACAGAGAGAGAGATCAAATTGAAAAAAGGAAAAAAATTTAGGTTACAAATAAAGACTAATCTCTGGATCAAACTATGAACTCCTCCTGCTAGTGAAATGTAAGCTGCCTGAGGGCACGCACGATTTTCATTTTTTTTTTGGATCCCTAGTATGTAGCACAGTATCTTACATATAATAAATACTTAATAAATGCTGATTGGATTGGAACGAAAGTCATCTATATGTAGTGCTTTGGAGTTTATAAAATATTGTCCTCACAACATCCCTTTGAAGAAGGTAATACAAGTACTGTTTTTCTCATTTGTGTGGATAAAGAAATGGAAGCTCAGAGGAGTGGAAAAATCAAAGGAATATAATTGGGTACAATCACAGGAGAAGAGCAGGAACTGGCCCAAGGCCTTCTGACTGGGTCCAAGGTCCTAGCCAACGACATGCCCCCATTTCACTATATTGAAGCAGCTAACCAAGAGAAGAGGAGGAATGACCCCCTCCAAAGACCTTTTAGGCCAGTCAAGATAAATGAGCACATGTCTAAGTCTACATCCTTTCCTGGAGAAAAAGGCTTGGCTGTTAGATCTCTTGGGCAATTGAATAATCCTGGGTCAGAATCCCCATTATGGACATAAGGAATCAGTAGATGAATTCATTATCTCTTTGATGTACAGATGTGCAGTGGATCGACACCCCACAGATGTAAATATCAACTTAACAATACTTTGCTCAGATTCAAATGGAAAGAACAGATCATCAGCCAGAATCCTACAGATCATAAAAGGGAAAGACTATGGTAAGTTCAGTATAACTTAAAGATTCTGTTCTTTTTCAATGATTTGACGGTATGGAATAAAAATGAAAAGGCAATTCTGCCCAGTAAACACATGGGAAAGCTTGAGAATAGTAACCCTAATTAACTACCAGTGGGTTAGAGAGTACATTTTCCCCTTTTTTTAAAGGTCCAATGAGTCTCACAAGTCCTAAAGGTTCAACTTAGTTAATTATCCTTTCCATGCACTAAATCGTGCCCTGTGGGCCCAAAAGACTTAATGGACCTTCAAAAAGTTAACTGTTTAGAACTTGCTCATCAGTAAAATCAAGTGTAGTAATTTTTATGTACTTAGTATATGGTAGGAAGACTTATCTTGGCATTTTTTTTATATTAAGGGCAAGCGTAATATCACTTACAAGTAACCCCTTAATATATAATGTGCAAGTCTCAGCAAATATGGAAAAAATAAGTAGAGGATGTGTCCATCTGAGATGCAATTTAAGTGTGATTATTTTAGCAAAACATATTTATAGTGAGTGGGAGGAGAGTGACTTGTGTAAGTCTAGGCATTAGGACCTTTTAAGAAATGTGATACAGAGAATCAATGCTATTCTTGCTAAAAGAGTAGAGTTAAAACTATGAACTATTTTAAACCGTGCATTTGGATGAGGATGAAGCCCAAATATAAACTTGATAGATTTGATTTTTTCCCCAGTTTTATACCTTTGCTAGTTTTGAGGCAATGTAACCATTCACTTGGGTTTCATTATAATATTAACCAGTCCATCTGAAACTATTTACCAACATTGACTGTGCTATTATAATTGTCTACTTTTAAATATGTGTGTGTATACACACATACGTACATATATGTATATCTATGTGTACATATATATGTGTGTATACACACACACATATATATATTTTTCCTTATTTATAAATGTGAGGTAGCTAATCTGATAGAAAATTCACTAATCCTATTTTTCAAGGAGGGCTTTACACAGGCATATTATTGTATTAAAATAACATTTGTCTGAAATACTGCCTCCTGGTAGTGGGTCAAAATAAAATTGGTAAGAATCAGTGTTCAGATTGATCATTTGTTTTTGGCTCATTTCCAGTGACACAGAACAAGTCACTTCATATCTCTGGGCTCCAGTTTCCTCATCTGTAAAATGGGAGAGTTTGTTGAAATAATTGATCCTAGGTACCTTTTCCCCCAACCCCACATACATACAATGTTTGGCATGCATATGTTTGTAGTTGTGGTGCTATGATGATGATGACAACAGTGACATAGAAACCCCACTAGAAAATTTGGATCTAAATGTAAAGCCAGAAAGTTTTAACAGCTGTTTTAAATTAGGAAGTTAATTGATTAAATAATGGTGTTTTGTGCATGTTAGTGTTGATTTTAAATAAAGACATGCTCATTAATCATAGTGTTAATTCTATCTAGTCTGATTTTAGTATTATTAGGGATTTTAAATATTGTATATTTTCCCAAAATTTTGTCAAATATATGAAACATATATGAAAGCACTTAGAGGAAACTAAGAAGCTTTATGGTGATATTGCAATAAATGCTGTTATAGAAATGACTCAGTTCTGGTTTCATTGAGATCTTACCACAAGACCTACATGAATTCCCTTAGATGCTGGTAAAATTTAGGCAAGAGAAGCCATTCTTCCATATTGGATTTTAAAGACCTATGTTATCTTATCTGGCCTAGTGTCTACTTCACAGTTAAAATGCATTGTTACATGACTCATTGCTTATTTCCACTGCGTAACACATTCTCTTTATTTAGTGAAATTGCATTTCATTTGATCTAATGCTATGATAGTTTCTTTCTAGAAAGTGAGCCGTCGCTCTTAGAATTCAAGCCATTCAGTAATGGGCCCCTGGTTGGTGGATTTGTTTACCGAGGTTGCCAGTCTGAAAGACTCTATGGAAGTTACGTGTTTGGAGACCGGAATGGGTAGGTTTCCCTGAATTTCATTTATTCTATCTGGTAACACATCCATGACTAGCTATCAGAAAGTTTGCAATAAAATATTCCAGTAGGATTCTCTTTCCTTAGAACAAGGCGATGGAATACAAACGGGGCAGTGGGGCGCACAAGTCATAAAGACTATGATTGTTTCTTTTTAATCTCTATTTCGGGTGTTGATTCAGCTGAAGATACACACACAGAGATACAAAGAGATGATCTTTAAAAATATTCCATCCAGTGAATAAAAATATGCGTGAAGACAAGCAGGGAAGTCTTGGTGGCAACTCTGCCAGCTTGTTTGGTTCTTCTCCTCACTCTCGCAAAATACTATAAAAGGGTTCAAATCGTGATATAAAAGAAAAACTTGGCAACCATGTTTTTATGATTCGCATCCCCATTCCATTCAGCTAACAATAATCAAGCGCTCACAATGTGAAAGACACTAGGCTAGGTATGAAGTGTGCAAAGGCGAAAATGAAGCAGTCCCTGACTTAATGAAACCTGCATTCAACCAGCAGAGTACAATATGGACACAGAAAAATTAGGACAAAATCTTTAGGATGTAATCTCAAGAGGGAAAGAGCATCAGGCGAGGTTTCTTTTAGGGGGTGGCACCTGAGCTGTGCTTTGAAGGAGGAAATTACCAATTCCAAGAAATGGATATTAAAAATTGTTTTTAGGGAAAGTGAGGCCTTTATTCTTTTATGTCTTTGCTAAATGTATATAATTAATAAATTTCTGGGACTTTGGTAAACAGGTTTCTCAATTTATACAGAAATGAAACAAATTTAAGTTTAGTCAAGGTTAAATGATTTTCTTAGTCTAATCTAGTCATTGCATGGCTGATTGTAGGAGACACCATTGAAGCCCAAACTGAGGCCTCTAGTTTTCCTGGTGAATGGCTTTCAGATATATTAGAGAGCTGATACATTAGTTCACTAGTGAACTAGGGAGGTATCCTGACCTCAGTTCTGTATTTCCTGTTCCTCTCTCTGATTAATAAAACAACATAAATTCTAGCTCCGAAGAGGAAGTATCATGCTCTGAATGAAGGAGGGATCTTTCTCCCTTCTGAAATGTTCTTAGTACCCTCCTTCATGCAAAGTATTCTCTTCCACGTATTATTTTTCCATTTCCACACAAGGTAAGGGCTATTGCATTAAATTTAATGAACATGTCTTAAGCATCTACCATGCGAAAAACACTGTTTTCTGTTTTGCCTTCTGTAGTCAGGATACAATGACATAGAAAGCTCTCCATAAAGGATTTTTTTCATTGTTTAGATCATGGTCATTTGGCAAAAAGCAATGACCAACCCCTTGGTGTGTTTCCTTTGCAGAAATTTTCTAACTCTTCAGCAGAGCCCAGGAACCAAACAGTGGCAAGAAAAACCTTTATGTCTCGGCAATGGCGGCTCCTGTAGAGGCTTCTTCTCAGGTCACATTTTAGGATTTGGAGAAGATGAATTAGGTATTGTACAAACAAATTCTTGTTATGCTACCTCTTTGCTCTCTTGCTTGACATATTCATTGATGTGGTCAGAAGAGCAGTTTTGACACCATTTTCCTCCATTTCCTGGAATTTTAAATCCTCTAGGGAAGATGAACCTGCTTACCTGCCGTGGAGGCTAACGGGAGCCCACTTGTAGATTTCACTTACAACATATCCAGAGCTCTGACTGGGGCGGGGGGTGGGGGAGTGGGGGATCAAGCAGGGCTTGGTTTCAGGATGCTAACTTCCATTTCTCTCCCAATTCACCCTTTCAGTACCTTGTGTTACTCCCTAGTCCTTCTCCCACCATGTTACCGCTGCACCTTCCTCACTGGGGCAGACCATTCCCTGACCCTGCCTTCCTGAAGTTGCCAAGTGCTAAGAAATCAGCTCCCCCACATCCCTGCCATGACCCCTTCCTCTGCCTTTCCCTGCTGCCACCTCCTCCCGGAGGTTGTCCAGCACCCACCTGGGGCCAAACGTTTTCATCACTTACCACAGATCCTCTCCCCATACCCTGTCCTCATGGGCGTTGCCTGGAGCAGCTACAGAACCAGGGCAGATATTATCCTACTCTAAAAGTCTCCTTTCTAGCACCCTCTCCCCATATTTTTCTTCCTTTACTCGCTGTCAAGCGGTTTTACAATGCAACCAATGAAAGTGACTGTCCTCTGAACTCTCCTTACCCCCTACAACTGAATTTGGCTCAAGTACCAGATTTTTAAAAACACTTTCTACCCTGCAAATATGAATGTTAGACAAGTGTATAGACCTGAAAAGAAAGGTAGTGAGAGAAATATTTCAAGAAATTAGTTACATTCTTTTTGTGTATTGATTAGTTAAAAGTGCAGGCACACAGATTTTTTTTTAATTGAGATGCACCCTTAGGCTATCTGGGCTAACACCCTCACAGACATTGTTCTCAAGTTTATAATCATGAAGAAAATCAAGTACCTATTGTGTGCAATATAATTTGCCAGGTCCTGGGGGAGATATGTCCAATACACCAGAGATCTGTGATTTCAGTGACAAAGGAATTTCCTCTTCCAAGTCAGATCCCAACCTGTCTATAACTAAGTATTTAATTCTTAATTAATTTCTATTTTCTAATTTTTATTTAATTTTTCATTAATTTCTAAGAGAAGTTGTAACTTTCCCCATGGTTATGCAACTATTAAGTAGGTTTCAAACCCAGGTCTTCCATATCTAACAATGCAACATACCATCTTTCTACTAGAGAGGAGAAAAAAAAAACAGGTTAAATAAGACATGATATCCCTGGTCAATGCAAATATGTTGCAGAGGAATTGACAATTTTCGCTGGTAAAGGGAGTTACACAATAGGAATTCCTACATCAATGAAATCACAGATCCATATTGGGGGGGGGATCCCTGTCTTCATGGAGTGAGTTGTCTATGATCAATTGTATCTGGAAATAACATCTTTCTACATTGTAGCTCTTCAATAATAATAAATATTATTATTATTATAGCACTTATGTAGTACTTTAAAGTTTGCGCAGTACTTTACAAATATCTCATTTATCATCACAATAACTCTAGGAGGTAGATGTTATTTTTACCCCCATTTTAAAGATGAGGAACCTGAGGTAATCATAGGTCAAGTAACTTTCACAGGGTCATCCAGCTAATGAGTATCTGAGGCCAAATTCAAACCCAAATTCAAATTCCTGATTCCGGGTCCGGCGCGCTATCTATTCTACTTCCTAGATGCTCTGAAATGAGAATTTGTATCTTTTATTTTATATTTACCATATGCGCTTATGATTAGAGATTAGACACTAACTGATAATAACTCTGATTTCACTTATTACACTTATTTCATCAATAGGTGAAGTGTACATTTTATCAAGTAGTAAAAGCATGACCCAGACTCACAATGGAAAACTCTACAAAATTGTGGACCCCAAAAGGTAAGCATTTATTCATATTACATTAAGCCAAAAAAATCACCCTTTTTTAAGTCATTGTTTAAGTGTATTCAAATCTCTGGGGAAATAATTAAAGTGAGTAATCTCCAATGTTAACATTTTCCATCTTCATGAACTTCTACATGAAACCTTTCTTGATCCCCTCAGTGGTTAGTGTTCTTCTCAAACTACCTGGTATTTAACAACTTTGTATTTATTTATATTTATTCTCTTTATACCTCTAGCCCCCACCCTCTTTTTTCCTCCTCCCTTCCTTTCTCCACCCCTGTCTTTCTCTCTGATAAATATATACAGCTAGATCCCAATTAGTGCAAATAAAGCATCCCCTGAAGTGGTCTCATGTATTCAAATTTGCATTATTTGAAGTTATAATTATGTAAAATATGGCAACTGGTTCCAACCCAATGGAAGTAAGCAATATGAATTCGATTGAAGTGACCACTTTAGGGGATTCGCTATTTGCGCTAATCAGGACCTGGCTGTATACATGTGTGTATGCATGTAAGTGTGTGTTTGTGTGTGTGTATGTGTGTGTGTATATATGTCCTTGTCTCAGCCATTAGAATGTAAACTCATGAATAGAGATTTTTTCCCATTCATTGTATTTGAATCCCCAGTACTTAACACAATGCCTAACACAAGGTAAATGCTTAATAAATACTTATTGATTGATTGGTTGTCTTTTCCACATATATCATGCTGTCCTCAAAAGAAACTCACAAGTTTATTATCAAATCAATAGACCTGATTGATACAAACATGCAAATGGTCAGGGCTTCAAGATTAGAGCATCCTGTTTATGGGAAACACAACTACAATGAAGAAGGATCATACAACTGTGGCCAGGGGTGCTGGAGAAAGAGCAGAGGTAGACATTTGGCAAGTGCTTTTCTCTTCTAGAAGACTTCTCAGCCAGCACATAACAATCCTCCTACTTTTCTAAAACACAACAGTCACCAGCAGGAGGTTTGTCTGTCTTAGTATCACTTTTTAAAAACATAATCAGAATAATTACTTTTCATACCTCAGCATCAGAGCCTTGTCCCAAAACCTCCTGTGAGCACTTGTGTGGGTTTCTGTGACTAGAATGAAAACAAAAGAAGGATTTTCTCATTTCCCCTGGCAAGGGGAGACTTGAACTCTATTAAATCTCTTAAGTGTGGGTTTGGTTATTGTTTTCAGTAAGCCAAGACTTTCCAGGGCAAATTAAAAGTCAGTCAAAGAACCATTAGTTATTGGTTAATTTAATGGACAAAATCCAAACTTTAAAAAGTTACTAAGCCTATATACTTAAACTCTGATCGTGTGTACAGTGTAATATTTATGCAAAAAGGGGTACAGGATAGAACATCAGCCAAGAGTAACTATTTTGTTTTCTATTTTTTTTTAAGCCAGCCCTGTGATTTTATTGGTTTAGGGAATTCCTAGTGAAGAAGCTCCTTTACCAGTGCAGATTGGTGCATGGTACATAGCCTTAGAGAACTGACTTCAGTAGTTCACTGAGAGGTTAAGTCACTTGCCAAGTGTCAAACAGCAGTATAATGACAGCAGTGGGATCGGAACCCAGATCTTACTGAGTCCAAGACCACCTCCATCCACTCTGATGTCCTCCTGCCTTTCACATGATTATTTATCCAAACTTATTAAATGATAGGTCATTTGCCTGTTTGCTCTTTAGTCCCAAGGAAAACATGCTGACTCATGTTGATCCTGTGGTCCAGTATAACCCCCAAACCCTTTTCAGATGAACTATTATTTAGGGATACCAACTCTGCCCCCCCCATACTGTATTTGTGAAATTGATTTTTTTAAATTCAAGAGCAGAACTTTACGTTTAACTTTCACGTTATTAAATCTCGTCTTACTAGATTTGGCCCATCAAATCTAATCTTCACTGCATTAGCAGTCCCTCTAAGTTTCATGTAATCTTCAGACCTAACAAGGCATCATCTAATTCACTGATAAAAAAAAAAGTTGAAAAACCAAAGGACAGAGATGGATTCTTGGGATGCCCCACTATAGAACTCCCTCCATGTTGATGTTGACCCACTAAGGACTATTTTGTGTACATTCATTCAATCAGTTCCAAATCCACCAATAATAATTATATAATCATCCAAACAATATCTCTCCATCTTATCCTTAAGCATACTGGAGAAAAAACACTAAATCCTTTGCTGAAATTTAATTATATTCCGTCTATTGCATTCCATGGCATACTCTAGTTACCCTGTCAGAAAAGAAAGTGAGGTTAGTCTGGCACAACATTTTCTTGATAAATCTCTGCTGCCTTCCCTTTCTAGATGCTCACAAACTATAATTCTAGTGATGAGTTGTAGAATTTTTCCAGAAACAAAAGTCAAAATCACTGGTTGAGAATTTCCAGGCTCTACTCTTATGAAAATAGGGGTGGTATTTGTCTTTTTCCAGACTTTCAAAAGCTCTTTAATTTGCTATGATCTCTGCATTCTAAGATGTAGTTTGTCCGTACTGAGTCACTATATCTCATTGAGGGCAGCTAGATAGTCTCTTTGGGGCAGTGAAGTGGCACAGTACACAGAGCACCGAGCTTGGAAACAGGAACTCATCTTTCTGAGTTCAAATCTGACCTCAGACAGTAGTCATGTGGCCCTGGGCAAGTAACTTAACCCTGTTTGCCTCAGTTTCCTCATCTGAAAAATGAACTGGAGAAGGAAATGGCAAACCATTCCAGTATCTTTGCCAAGAAAACCCCAAATGGGGTCATAAATACACAACTGAAAAATGACTGAACAACAAAGGCAGTCTCCTAACTTACCTGCAGGTTTCCACTCCCTTCTAAACATTTTTTGTTCTATCTTTCCCAGTCCAAAGGTTGTTTCTCCTCAAAGAGAAAATATAAAGAAAAAAAAAAAGACTTGAGTAGTTCCCCCTTCTCACCTTTGTCCATTTGTCCATTCAAGAAGAATGATCCTATCCTTTCTTTGATCCTTGGCTTGAACCCAACACATACAACAATTCAAAACCCCTGTTTGTTGTTCTTAGAATTCCTCGCTAGTCTTAGTTCATTTTGGGCTGCATTACTCCTGACCTTGTTCCTAAAGAAGCTTGTTATTCAGATCATGACAATAGTCATTCTATTAAAGCAATACCCCATGACATCAAACATCCAGTAGCAGCATAAACACAAAACCCTAGTTGGCCAACTCTTGTTGGGCCCCAAGGGATCGACAGACTTTAGCTAGATGCTAGAACATACTGATTCTGCTTTCTGCATCATGTTTTCTGTATAAACCTTTCAGCTAAATGGGAGAGGAATCATCTTTTACCTTTCTTGATTTCAAGATCCTTTAGATGATCTTGAATAGATGATTAGAAACTGAAAAATCTCTTAGAAATATTGACTGGTTTCTCCTTTCTGGATAACCGCTCATGAGAAAAAAGTGGCATATGCTTAAAGACGTTTCCTTCCTAACAAGATGGGTATCTCTCTTCTTTTTCATTCATTTATTCAAATAACATTTAGTAAGCACGTGCTATGTACCGCACTAGCCACAGGGGTCATAATGACAAAAGAGGAAACGTTTCCTACCTTGAAGAAACATCTGTTCTGTACTGGTATAAATAACATCCATAAGTCAATTGAAAATGTGTGTAAAATAAATACAATTTCAATGGGATGGCTTTAGCAACTGGGGGGACTGGGAAGGGCTAGTGTAGAAAGAAGCTAACATATTGAACCCACAGCATCTTTTCTGAAGAAAAGAGGTGCAGTGAAGTCTGCTTGCCAGGAAGTTCTCGGCTACTGCTAATGAGAATAATTGGTCCTGAGCAATCCACTTTTAATAGCAGCGATACATCTGTAATATCACTCATCTATCATCTGCTGGCACTCTTAATTCGTCAGTCACTGTATATCTAGTGAGATTGCTTCCCTCCCACAGCAGAAAAGTCCCTAGTTTCCTCCCTTTTGAGTGGAATAGCAGCATAGCATTTGATAGAATTGAAAAACCAGCTCCTTGATAACCTGTTCCAATTGGGGAAATGATTAATGCAGAATAAATTAGTAGTAATATATCCATTACTTTGAGATGTAAGTTTCTGTTATTCTTCGTGATTTCCAGTGATTGTGCTTGGATCAACTTCAGTCGCTTTCTCAACGGATATCTCTTTTCCCTGCCTGTTTGTTTCCAGGTATTCATGCAATAGTCTCCCACACCAAAGGGGAAAACGAGATCTTGCACTCTTCATTCGGGTTGTTTAGTCTGTTGGTGTGTGAGTCAGAGTGAATTTTACACCTTAAATCCATTATTAGTATCTAATTACCAGTGTGACCTTGATTTTGTGTTCTTCGGGCCTCCGCTAGTAGGGTGGTCTCCGAGTGACATACCTGAAAGGCCTGCCTTCCCGTTAGATTGCTGTTGCTGGTGAGTTATTTCATATGTGGGGCCGGGGTTAAGACGTGTGTTTGGTTTCAGGAGGGAAATAACCAGAGTCCGAAAGACACTGTCCTTGTACTTAGGCAAAGGCATCAATTAAAACTTCCCTGGCTTGTGGCAGAGCACCCTCGTTTGCATAAACATTGGTCAGAAACGTCATGCTGTTTTGATTTGGGGCCAGAAGTTTATTATTGTAGTATTTCTTTGCTGAGGAGCTGAAGTTCTGTATAAGCATACACTTCAGCATGTGCACAGCATTACCCCTGAAACATTAGGCAATCGTCAGCACCGCCTTGTGCAGGTTTCCTGCCTTGGAAGAAAAAAACTCATACTCTGAGAAATTCATTATTAGCAAAATTTGAAGAAAGCCTGGCTATTTTTCCAGTGGCCTCTCTCGTTACCACAGAAATCCATTCACATTACAGCCTTAGTTTAAACCAGCTTCTAGTAGTTAATCATGAGAACTGACATTTATAAAGCCTGCAGTTATATAGTGCTTTAAAACCTTCAAAGCATTTGTACAGATATTTCATTTGATCTTCACAACAACCCTTCGATATTGAT